GGCGGGTCCGGGCTGGGGATTCGAACCCGCCACCTTAGGTGTACGTGGCTGGCGCCTTAGCCGGTTGAGCTATAGGCGCCGAGCCACCTTGCTGTCTTAATAGTGGTCACAGCATCCTCAAAAACTCAACTGTCAAGTCTATTCTAGAATAAGCCAGGATTGGGTATTTCAGGTTAGGTTAACAGTCCTGGTGTCAAGTTTGTTCTAGAACAGCAGTTCTCAACCTGTGGGTTGCAACCCCTTTGTAACGATGAAAATATATCCTGCATATCAGATATTTACATTATGATTCATAACAGTAGCAAAATTATAGTTATGAAGTAGCAATGAAAATAATTTTATGGTTGGGGGTCTCCACAATATGAGGAACTGTATTGAAGGTCATGGCATTAGGAGGCATTAGGAAGGTTGAGAACCACTGTTAGAACAAGCCAGGAGTGGGATATCTGATTAGGTTAACAGTCCTGGGCCCAACCTTAATTTTAAAAAGTCCTTTCCTGGGTACTTTTTGGGATCCTTTTCTCTTTGTCATGCCTGTTTCATGCCAGTATTTGGTGTGCTTTTGAATGTATCTCTGTAGGATGATCATTAAAAGCAGAAGAAGTCTCCTTATGGGAACCAGGCAGGAAAGACCATACTTACCTCGGGTTCTGAAGAAGAAAGGGTGGTAATTGCTTTCATTTTTAATGGAAGGAAAAGGTATAACCTTTACAAAGTAATCCGTTTCAAATTTCATGTTCAGGAAAGGTTGAGATTCCATTCCCTAAAAGGAAACAAAAATACATGTTACGTCATGGAGAAATTACCCACCTTCCACCTACACATGAGAGCTTCTCTCCTATCTGACCTGTCACCCAGACACAATTCCAGAGCTGGAGGACATGCCCTGGGGAGGCAGGAAGTCTGGTCTATTTGGGGTTTGGTGAAGATGGACAGTGTTATCTGCTCTTTGGCAAGGAAGCCACAGCTTGTTAATCTAAACCTGAGCGTTGTGGGGGAGGATGAGCCCACATACACTTCATAGCACAAAGACACCTTCCAGGATCGCTGCTTAGTGGTAACCGGAGAGGTATGTTTACCGCAGAGAGGTGCTGAAGAGTTTTCCTAGGAGCACTGAGCAGGCTCGGGGTGTTGCCACACCATTCTCGCCCACCTTGGCGCGTGGGGTGCAGCCCACAGCCCTTCCTTCTCCAATTTCAGACTTTCAATAGACCATTCAGACCACCAGAACAATAGCGGGTCCTCAGGAGCACATTCCCTGAGTGTGACTTACAGTTCTTTTGAAGCTACTGTTGAGCTGCTTCGGGTCCTTTAGAATCAGTTGTTGGCACTGTCTTCCCTCTGACTTCAGCTCCTCCAGTATTACCCGAAATCCTTTCAGGAATTCGATGCCTAAACAAAACAGAATGCTTTTATTAAAGGCAAATCTAATTACTTCTGAACACACTTTCCTTCCTATAAAAGGGATGGCCATTCTTTCTACCTATACACCAGAGTTAAGGGAATTCTTACTTGGGCCACAGTATCTAAGTCTATAGAAAGGAAAAAACACATACCCTGAATTCCTCCAGTACAGAACAGGTGATTTTCTCTCTCTCACCATTACTAATTAATTAATCTCTAATCCAGCCAGCCATTTCACAAATATCCATTGCCTGTGTGGCATTACAGTTCAAATATTTAGATGCAAGTTACAACTGTTCATAAAAGTCTACAGTAGAATATGTAATTTCTACGTCATTAAACAGGGTATATTCAGCTAATGATGATTCCCAATGTTCACTAGGGAATCCCCTAAACCAAGTTTCTACCTTAAATTTTAGCTGTATATTCTTTGGCATGTTTCACTGAGCAACCCACAAAATTCCCAACAAAGTGTTTGTCTGCACCCAAGGGGTTCTGAAGCTTGAGATTAAATAGCTTAGGGGAATGCCTATGTGATTTACAAAGCGGTTCTTGCTCTAATCATGCCTGAAAGGCAGACACCCAAGGGCTGCCCAGTGTGTGCTCTTCATACAATCCTCACAGGCTCCGAGACACCCACAGCGCTGCTGAAAGGCCCTGGCCCAGCCTCCCACCACCTGAGCTTCCCCCACTGCACGTCCGACTAGATGCTTTCAAAAGGATTAAGCTCCGATGACCACAAGAGCCAGCACCAGAGCTCTGTATCCCATGGAGACTGGAGTGGTCCAACTGCAGCTGGAGATCTCCAAAGGCGGCCTCAATTGGCAAGATATCGATTTCACATTCTTTCTGAATACTAGACAAGGAGACGTTTTCAATTCTTCCTCTCCCAGGGCAAAAGTAATTACACAGGATGCAATTAACCAGGTGGGAAATTTATTGGTGGTAAAGGCCAGGGAAATCTTTTTCTCTTTCAAATCGGTTCTCCAATCCTATAATTATTTGATGAAGAACACATATTTCATGGCGGGTAGGGCAGAGGAGCCACAATTACAGTTTCACATTTTAGCAGTTCTGAGGACTACAGTGAGCAGGTACTGGCTCTACCATGTTGTATTTCAATTACAGAGTTTCCTGTGGGGGTGACAGCCAGCTGACCAAAAGCCAGAGACTCAGACATGGTGACAAGACACAAGGTCTTTTGACCAACAGGAACCTCCCTTCCGATATTAAAAAAAATTTTTTTAAATAAACCCTTACTATTTATACTAAGATTTAATTTATGCAATGTTCCAACAACTACTGTTTATCAAAAGCCTGGTGATTAATATGATTAACAGCATACATCTCACAATTACATAAAAATTCATCAGCTGTTGTGGTTCTTGTTCTTTTTTTTGAGACAGAGCCTCAAGCTGTCCCCCTAGGTAGAGTACCGTGGCATAGCTCGCAGCAGCCTCCAACTCCTCAAGCATGTTTCCTGCCTCCGCCTCCCAAGTTGCTGGGACCACAGGTGCCTGGCGCAACGTCTGGCTGCTTTTTTTTTTTTTTTTGGTTGCAGCCATCATTGTTGTTTGGCGGGCCCGGGCTGGATTCGAACCTGCCACCTTAGGTGTATGTGGCTGGCGCCTTAGCCACTTGAGCCACAGGCGCTGAGCCTCTTGTTCTTATTTTTAAAAGAGTAGCTTTAAAAATAAAAAATCCTAGCACTCTGGGAGGCTGAGAGGGGTAGACTGCTTGAGCTCAGGAGTTCAAGACCAGCCTGAGCAAGAGTGAGAGCCCGTCTCTAAAAATAGCTGGGCGTTGTGGCGGGCACCTGTACTTCTAACTACTCAGGAGGCTGCAGCAAGAGAATCATTTGTGTCCAAGAGTTTGATGTTTCTTTGAGCTGTGATACCACAGCACTCTACTCAGGGTGACAAAGTGAGATTCTGTCTCAAATCAATCAATAAATAAATAACAATTAAAGGGGAAAAAAATGACTAGTCTGAAAAATACAATGTCAAATCTGGGGGTGGAGCAGCAAATAGGATTCCTTTATCATCAGGATGCATCAGAATACTGTTAACATCTAGTAGCTAGCTATATAATGAGTCACAATTTATAGGGCAGCTTCCCATGAAGGAACTTATTATTTGTTCTCTCTCCCATCATTTAAATGCATTAAATCCTCTCCATAACTGTAGGAGGAAAGCATTATTCCCCCCATTTTAGAGATGAGGAAGCTAAGGCATGCAGAAGCCAACTGACTTGTTCAGGGCCACAGGGGAGTGAAGTGGCAGAGGCGTCTGGCTCCCAGCCAGTGCTCTTTGTTCACAGGCATTCCTCTTTCCAAGAAGTTTCCTTGATACAACCTGACAGAGCCCATCCACTCACCCCTACCCATAAATCATCATCCAGGAAAAGCGCGGCCTCTGCCCTCCCTGTTCCACGTGTCAGTTCTCCACCAGTTGACACTTCTCACCTTCGTTCTAAGGAGGGAGCCTGCGATTCGTCAGGCCAACCCCCCAACCCTTTAAGCTACACATGGAATGACCACTTCTCTTTCACCTACAGAAAATGTTTTTTTATCTTTAAATGTTAAGATAATATTATTTTTAGAAAACCTCCTGGGTTCAGACCCAGAAGTATGAAGTATTTATGTGGAAAGTGGTTCGGCCCATGGTCGGTTCTGTCCTCCTGCAATCCATTCTTCTGAGGTTTACCCTGTTCAGATTAAGAAAGTCAAACTTTACTATTCCCTTGGCCAGATTTTAAAAACTTGTATGATCAAGTTCGCTGAATAAGATGTCAAGGCGGGCCTGAGAACCAGGTTCTGAAGATAAGAACAGCAGCCACTATTCTTTGAGAGCTTTCTCTGGAAATGGGTCTCCCACTATGAGGCAGTTCTCATCTCCACTTCACAGATGAGGAAGCTGAGGCTCAGAAAAGTTCCAGTGCCTTGTGTGAAAAGTTGATTCTGGGTTCAAATCCAAACTGTCACTCCTCATGTCTTGTGCTTGACTAACTGTCCTCTCTTGGGCATCCTCGATTCATTCAAAAAGACAAACAAATTTAGCCCCAACCTGAGTCTGGCAGGATAAGGTGGGTTTGCTTTTTTGTGTGTCTTTCTTTCGGGTTGCTTTTTTGTTTGGTCCATACAATTTAAATAAAAATTCAATTAGTTGTCAACATTTAAAATGTCATTGACTTCATGGTTTCTCATGAAGACTGGGATTTTCCTGAAAAATGTATGGCCCAATAGTGGGCCTGCATATCTGGGTACCCCACAGGGACCACTAATTCTGGAAGCCATTACACCCTTATATGGGCCACAGACTCTCTTGGCACTGCCACCCACCCACCCCTGACTACGGAACCCAAAGCCTCAGTGCCGTTTATCACTCATACACCATTATGTTTCAAACATACATTTCTCCCAATAATAGTCAAGGAAATAAAAGACCGTGAGGAGGAGGGGAATAGGGTGCACGTAGCTTTGAGCCATGTGTGTGCCTAGCAAGTGTATGTGACAAAGTACCAAGTGTGTCTGGTCTGCACCCAGTCCAACATAAGCTTCACTCACATCAAGACCTGCTGATGGCCCTAGGGGTCATCACAAGTGGAACCTTTGCACTGGACATCACCCACCAAGGTCACCATGGTGGGCTCAACTTTTGACCACTCACCGAGGGCCCCTGGGGACCAAAGAATGGTGACTGCCACTTGGTCATGGCAAGCATACTGGCTGACGGTAATGTTCTGGGCATCAGCAATCACATGTTTCCCCACTGGATTCAGATAGGTGGTACAGTCTAGAGAGTTGAGAGAACAAGAACAGTTAAATTAAAAATGTTATTTTAATTTTCAGGTTCATCTTGTCAGATTACACAGAGCATGTCTGAAGGCAACCAAACCCATTCTGTTGAATGACCTGTGCCTCAAAAGCACAAATCAGACATCAAAGGTTGACTGTAAGATGCTACAGAGGGATTTATTTATAGCACCCCAACACCACCACCCCAACTTAAACTCCAGAACACTGTTGGGAGGATTACACACAATGTAGAATATGTTTATGTATCTGCCACTTTTTAAAATTCTCATGACATTTTACCTAAATTAATAATTAGTTATACCAATCCAACCAGTTTCCAGCATTAAAGAGTGATCTGAAAGAAAAGAATGGCTAAATAATTTGGGCTTTGTATTTAGAAGAAACCTAGAGGGGAAGGTGATAAGGGGAAACTCCCTGGGATAGTGATACACAGTGAGATTCTTAGGTAACCCAGTTAGTATCTGCACAAGGTACTATCTTAGTGACTGAGTGATAAGGATGTTAACTAGCATAGTGCAAAAGTAAAACCATTGTTTTGAAACACCATGTATCATCAAAGATACCCACAATCCCCACTTAATCCAAAGGGCCCCTTATAGCTTAAAAACCAAAAGCCACATCAATCTTTGATTTTGTCTGAGGACATTACTCATTGCCACCTATCCATGTAGCCAATATGAGCAGCTGTACCACCTGGGATTGCTAAATACCCCCTCAAAATCTGCAAATTTCCTAAAAAGCTGCCAGAAGCTTCCAGCCAGAATTAGGCTGTGACTTCAAAGAAGGGCCACAGTGAGCTGTTCTAGACACTTGAGCAGGAAGATCCAGCAGCCAGCCCCAGCAGATACCACCAGCAATTCTCCCCCTTCTTCCTGTTTCTTACTCTCTTTTAGTATCTGATGCAAAAGGTCACCAGTGTCATCAACGGTCCAAACTTGCCCATTAGTCCTCTGAAGTGAGGGTGTTTTTTTTCAAGGTGAAGCATTCCGGGGCATTTTCTAAGAAGCTTGGGGAGTCTGCTACATTTGCCTCCCTTTAAACTATATTGCACTTTCTCATTGTTATGACTAAGAATGTTCACTCGAGACATTTGAAAGCCACAAAAGAATACAAGAAAAATGTAAAAGTCATTCATAACCTCTCACCACACAGAGGTGCTATAAACATTCTAATGGCTACCCTGCCAAGTCTATTTTAATACTCACATAATATTTCTTTTACATTTCTTATTAAAGTATAACCTACAGACACTAAAATGAACCTCCCAATTCCTTTTAAAACTCCATCCTCCACACTGCCTCGTGTCCTGCTTTCTTGCCTAACTAAATCAGGCACTGTCTTCTTTAAACTCCATCGGCTTCAAAAAACAGTCACATTTACATTTCGACATTACTTATTGTGAAAGGATGTTAATAATTGATAAAACCAAATTCTACTTTGATGAAAATTCATTCTCAAAGCAATCAACATGTGTTCTCTGGATGTAGAAGAGAATTTTAAAATAAGGAAAAAAATTTTAAACCCCTGGTTTAATAACCCCATTGTACAAACGAGGAAGCTGCAGCCATGAGAGATCACCTGGATGGCTTAGGGGCCACCACTGCCCAGCCCAGGGTCAACACCAGAAAGCAGCTTCTGATGACTCACCCAGGGCTCTTGCTGTTCTATTATCAGCATGAGCTTATCACTACTTACACAAGCTCTGAGTCAGAGGCGTTCAGCCTGCAAATGTCATAGCTGAGACCAGCTTCCCAATATAAAGAAAGACAAGATACCATCATACTTGTAAGTTCAAATATTTCTATCTATTAAGATTTATAGTAAAAGAGAAACCTCTGACTCAAACAGCTCTGCAAAGATGCATAAATAACAGCAAATTATGTTTTTTTCTTTGTTCATTTCTAATACCAAAATTAATGCTCTTTGGGTTGTTATAGATACAACAATTATGCAAATATAAAGTCTAAGTATTCTGGTTTTTTTTTTTTTTTTTGTAGAGACAGAGTCTCACTTTTTCACCCTCAGTAGAGTGCAGTGGAGTCACAGCTCACAGCAACCTCCAACTCCTGGGA